TCAGGCAGGGACCAGGGGAGGTGCCACCTCCAGGTTGGAGGCACAGGAAGGCCACTCGGGGACTCACACCCTGGCTACGCCTGGACTGGGCGGCACTAAGGAACCCCACATTCACACCTGGTCAGGAAGACCTGGGGGCGCTCCTTCCTGTGTGTGAAATACACTCTCCCCCAGGGGGACCATCCCAAAGTCTCCTCCAGCCCCACGAAGGTCAAAAGTGATGCAAAGGAGGCCTAGCCATGCCTCCTGGCAAGCAGCATGGCTAAAAGGCCAAATCACTGACCCCCAAACCCACAGTGTCAACTGAGCAGCAGAAAGGCGGTGGACACGGACGTGGGGTCCGAAGTCCCTCCGGGTAGCTGTGCTGAGGACCCCGGCCCAGGGTGGATGCACTCCTGGACTAGACTGGCGGGGGCACACCACCTGCCGTTCTCCATGGCCTTTGGGTGCTGAGGTGGGCACTGGAGACCCCAAAGCTTTCCCATCCCCTTCTCGCCCACAGAGAGTCGGGGTCCCAGGGTTATTTTGAGTCTCGAGCCAGCACAGTCTCTTCGGGTCCAGGCCGATGACTTTTGGGGGGACAGTATCACTCTTTCATATGTGTAATCGACTTTTAAAACTTGGACTTAATTTCAGTCAGGTTCAGATGTCAAAGTCATGCCCGGAGCTCCTTTACCCACAGTTCTCGTTTCTGCTGCTTTTCTCTGCATTTTCACCCCCTACCCCTCCTGCCCACCTTCCCCCCGCGTGAGGCAGGTAACCGGGCGTGTCGGGCTGACATGGACAAGCTGCGCCCTGACTGGAGTATAACTCGAGAGATCTGTGATTTTATCTTTCACTGCTTCTGGTTGAGAAGCTATCGTTCTTCTAACCCCCCAAGTCCCTGCCCTGGACTTTCTCTATTTCCGTTCATTCCTGCCCACCCGCCAGCCCTTCTCTCTGAGCCCAGAGGCCAGAGCACGCAGCCAACAGTGAACAGCATGCGATGGGCCTTTGGCAGCCAGCAGCTGGGGGTTCTAGGGCTACAGGGTTCTAGGTTCTTGGTCCGCCTTCCAAATATCACAGGGAGCCAGCTGACCCTCCCTTTCCTCGCTGCTTGTATTAGTCGGGGTTCCCTGGAGAAACAGACCCCTGTATACTTAGATGAGACTTATCATAAGGAGGGGGACCAGGGCAGCCGCGGGGCCGCCAGGCTGAGGCCAGGGCCCAGTCGGAAGGAGTTTCTCCCCTCTTCCGCCCTCTCCTACTCGGCCCTCGGAGGGGTTGGACAGACGGCCCACACTGTGGAGGGGGTCTGCTTTACTCAGCGCACCTTTCAAAGTGAAGCTCATCCAGGAAGACCCCCGAGACACGCCAGGATAACCTCTGACCCGGCGTCTGGGCTCTGCGCCCCGGCCGGGCTGACACAGGAAATTCACATCACGCTTCTCCACGTGGGTTGGATCTCTCCCGCCTCGGGAACATAGCTTCTCGTTGCGGCCTCCGGGCCCGGGCCCGAGGCGCGTTTACGGCGCTGCGCCACGGCGGTCGGGGCGAGCTGCACGGTGCTCTGACGACGAGTGATCTGGGATCGTAACGGCGGCCAAGAAAGCTCTGTTCCTGCTTCTGCTGCCACCTGACGTGGGCTGGCGGCCATCAGCGGCGGGTCCCCCTCACCCCCGGGGCCCAGGGTGAAGCTCCCATCGCGGGCTTCGTGACCGCCACAGGGATGTGCGGAGTCCGCGTGATGCCCGCGAGTGACTCCGCACCTGCGCCCGCGTCCCAGGTGCTGCGGGACTTGGTGGGGGAGGGGTGGCGGGGTGCGGCTCCGCGCTCTGCGCACTGGGAGTGAGGGTGTGAGGGGCCAGAGCCTCCCCCGAAACTCCTGGAAGACGGCGGCCCCGCCGGCCCTGCCTCCGGCTGCTTTCACGTCTGTGCTGATTGTCTGCGGTCCCGGGGCAGCTGGTCTGTGAGCGCGGGCTCCCTGCCCTCTGTCGCTCCGCCGTGTACCAAATGCGATTGGGCGCGGCAGCATCAGCACCTCCCCGAGGGGCTGGACCTCACGCCTCCAAGAGAGGGGACCTCCTCAAGGACAGCGTGTCAGAGTGCCTGTGGCCACGACGGATGCTATGTGCTCCTGATTTCTCTGTGAAGCAGAACTCTGTTTATTCTCTACTCCATTTTGGCCAGCAAGAGGCACTGTAGAGACTTGCTTTTTCCTTAAAATGTTAATTCATGAAACTCCAGAGGCTAGGCTTAACGAAAGGAAGAGATATCTTTCTACATCCTAGACATGTTCAAATATCTGGTTTTATACCGTGTTAATCTGAGCAGGTTCACAGATGGATCTTATTTCCCTGTGTAGTTAGAAAGCTAGGTGACCCTAACTGTTACAGGTTGTTCTGGTCTCTCTGATTATTGGTCCTTGGAAATTCATTAGGAAAAGTTGTGTAAAACCCCTAAAACTTTGCAGAGGAATGGCACCTTCCAAGGGGATCGGCCAGCTGTACCATCCCCTCCTGCCTCCACCACCTCGCCCGCTGCACAGGGGCCCATCACAGACTCCGAGAGACCCTGCCCCGCCTGAGAAAGGACCTCAGACTTGGGGAGCTGGTGGAGGGGCGTCTCCACAAGATGACATGTCCCTTCTGGGGCCTACCGTTGCAAGTAGAAGGGGTCAGACCCTCTTTTCTTTTGCCTACAGATCACCAGGGCGTGCGCATAGTAGAGTGTGAGCTGCAAACCCAATTTAAAATATTCCAGTAGCCACGTTAAGAAAGGAAAAAAACAGGTGAGATTTATTTTAAGGATCTATTTTCTTTGAACCTATATATAGAAAATATGATAACAACATATAATTAATGAAAGGTATTATTTTTTTAAATAAATAAATAAATGTATTTATTTATTTTTGGCTGCGTTGGGTCCTCATTGTGGCGCGTGGGCTTTCTCTAGTTGCGGCGAGCGGGGGCTACTCTTCGTTGCGGCGGGCGGGCTTCTCACTGCGGTGGCTTCTCTTATTGTGGACTAGACGCACAGGCTTCAGTAGTGGCGTGCGGGCTCAGTAGTTGTGGCACGCGGGGGCTTAGTTGCTCCGCGGCATGTGGGATCTTCCCGGACCAGGGCTCGAACCCGTGTCCCCTGCATTGGCAGGCGGATTCTTCACCACTGTGCCACCAGGGAAGCCCCATGAACGATATTATTGATGAAATATTTTATATCTTAACAAAAAATTCTTTTTTTCTCACCAAGCTTTCAAGGACAGCTGATATGAGACTTATGCATGCATCTTTTCTCCACTGGAACCCTCCACGTTCCCGGGCCTGGTGGCCACTGTGAAGCGCTGGAGCAGAGCCACCCTGGAGGCTGTTGTAGGAGTGGGAGCTGGCAGGGAGGACCCCCAGGTGGGGCAGCAGGAGGGCGGCCACCAAGTTCATTCCCCCAGCCTGACAAGGGGAGGGCACAGGGGACTTGGAAGCTCCTGGAGAAAAGGCAGCCACCCTGCCCTGGGTGGGGGGCTCTCAGACGGCAGAGCAGGAGGGGCTGGGGGGAGCCAGATGGACATCGGCATGGAGGGGGGCTGCGGGAGAGGCGGGTCAGGGGCCAGACCTACTGTGTGCGTTACTTCTTTGTGACGGGGAAACAGCACAGCGCTCATTGCCCCTGAGACACCGGAACGGCCTCACCGCAAGACACACACCGTTCTCTGCTCGGATGTCACCATCTTGCTGTGGGGCGGACAGAGTCAGTAAGAGGAAAGCGTGTAATTCAGGAAGGCTCTGGGCGGTGGAGGCATTGACCCTTCCCGAGGCCCCTCCATGCTGCCCCTTAAGCTCCTTGGTCGGTATATCAAATGTGGGGGGCGGGGGCGGGAGGGAGGAAGGAACGACGGGGCTGCGCAAATATGCAGGCCCTGGGCTCCTAGCTGCCACCAGATGCTCTGGACCCTGGGGTCTCCCACCACAGCTGCCTCCTCAGGTCACGCGGAGCCCAGTGTCCCCACACCCGGGAGCCCTTGGGAGACCATGAGAGGCTCCTTTGGGGCAGGCCACCCAGGCTGCTGGCTGCTGACCTGCAACCAGGAAGGACCCAAACCAGCCTGGAGCAGGGACTCAGGGCCAGGAAGCCCAGTGCATTTCTGAGGGGAGGGCGGTGCAATGAGGGGTGGGCCGTGGGCCAGGGCTCGCTCTGGGGGCTGGGGTGTGGAGGCTGAGTGAGGGTCTGGGAGGGGCCCTGCGTGAGGACAGCGGGGCTGCAGCAGGCTTGGGCCTGAGACCCCCGGGCTGGGGAAGGGTCCCGGGGCCCGACCACACCCCTAAGTAGGGAGGTGGGGTGGCTGAGACAGGGCCTGGCTCGGGTGTGAAGGGAAGCAGAACTCATTACCCCAAATGTGCCTCTTTGCCATATTGATTACTTTAAGCTGCTTATTTTTAAGCACTAGGACACCTGGGAGAAGCTCTGAAACTGAGTAGAAGTCAGCCTTTCGAAAGACATTTACACGTACAAGGGAAACCTCCATGCAAGTGTGTCTCCTCTTGTGTGGGGATGAGGGGGACGGCCCCATTTCTAGAGACTCTTGTGGATGGAGAAGCTCCGCAGGAAACCTTACCATTGTTTGTGTGCTTTTCCTTGTCACCTCCCAGAGGGGCCTCTCTTCCCCACCCCGCAACACCTTCTGTCTTTAGCTGGAGGTGGCATTTAAGGTGGTGGCTCCAGCATTTCGGGGAGTCACTCAGTTTTCCTGGGTCTCTCCCATGTATACAGGAGGTATACGTGTTATTCAACTTTTATTTGTTTTTCTTCTGTTAAACTGTCTTTTTATTACAGTGGGGTCTCAACCAAGAACCTGGGAAGGTAGAAGGAAAGTCTTCTGCCCCTTCCAGCCTCTGGGACGGGAAGCTCCCTCCAAGCCCTCAGCCTTCCTCCCACTCACGCTGGTGTAACCTGACACTCGGTGGTTCTCATCCCGCCTCCTAGGACCAGCCCATCCCCAATTCCCCAACTTCCAGGAAAAGGAAACTTCAGTGAAATCGAAACTACTGGGGAAAGGGAGGACCCCTGAGAGTCTCCAGGCACCTGGATCACAGCTGCCTCACGTCCACCATGAACCACACATCCCAACCCTTCTTCAATGGTGCCCACAGCGGGATCCCCCCGAACTATGAGATGCTCAAGGAGGAGCACGAGGTGGCCATGCTGGGGGCTCCCCAGAGCCAGGCCCCCGTGACGACCACGGTGATCAACGTCCGCAGCGAGACCTCGGTGCCCGATCACATCGTCTGGTCCCTGTTCAACACGATCTTCATGAACTGGTGCTGCCTGGGCTTCGTGGCATTCGCCTACTCTGTGAAGGTGGGTGGGCGCCTGGGGGGTTCTCCAAGGAAGTGTGTGTGAGCCTGGAGAGGCCCCCCCTGCCTGGCTGGCATGTGGGGTGTGGAGAGCCCTTGTGTGTATTGTTGTGTGTGTGTGTGTGTGTGTGTGTGTGTGTGTGTGTGTGGCTTGGGGGATCATTCCCAGTGAGAGTTCACAGCGAAGCTGCAGGGGTGCACATGGGGATGGGGGGCTATGTCTCCACCATCCCAGGAAGTTCTCCTTCCTAGCCTTGTGAGAGAAGTTACATCCTTCACACTTCGGATTCAGACCTCGAGTCTGGTCCAGAAAAGAAAAAGGTACTGAAAGGACACTGACCCCTGGTGGGGTGAGTGGCCAGCAAAGGGGACAGAGCAGAGGGAGGGTGAGCCCTGGGGCCTCCCGGAGAGGCTGAGAGTCCGTGAGGAAGCAGATCGAGGCCCCAGGAGGGGAGGGGGGCCCACCAGGCACTGTCCTGCTTGGGCTCCGGGGAACGGGCAGGGGTGGGTCCCCATCTGGGTGAACGGGCCCTGGGGGACGAGCAGGGGAGGGCCTGAGTCACAGCACCTGGCTGTCACCTGGCCCAGCTCCAGAACCCCTCACCGTCTCTTCTCCCCCAGTCTAGGGACCGGAAGATGGTGGGCGATGTCATTGGGGCCCAGAGCTATGCCTCCACCGCCAAGTGCCTGAACATCTGCGCCCTGGTCCTGGGCATCCTTCTGATCACCGTCTTCATCGTTATTCTCGCCACTGGCTCCGTGATGGTTTTTCAAGCAGTTTCCCAGCTCATGAAGGATTATGGAGGCCACTAGTAGCTGCCGGCAGCCCGAGGCCGTCACCCCTTTTCACTGCAGTTTATACACGCATCTGTCCACAGCTGAATGAAATAAAGCATTTGTATGTGAGGGTGTTGTGTGTTTTTGTTTTGTTTTGTTTTGTTTTTTTGCGGTACGCGGGCCTCTCACTGTTGTGGCCTCTCCTATTGCGGAGCACAGGCTCCGGATGCGCAGGCTCAGCGGCCATGGCTCACGGGCCCAGCTGCTCCGCGGCATGTGGGATCCTCCCGGACCGGGGCACGAACCCGTGTCCCCTGCATCGGCAGGCGGACTCTCAACCACTGCGCCACCAGGGAAGCCCGGGTGCTGTGTTTTGACCTGGGGAGGGGGCCCTGTTGAGAGTCCCAGCCTGCCCCTGAGACTGAGCCCCTCCCCCCCGTCCCATCTGCTCTGCTGCTGAGTGGGACCTGCCAAGTCCTAAGGCTTTGCCTGTTTTTGGCCTCGAGCTGGGGCAGCAGCAATTGGACAGGGGTTTGGGGTGGTGCCTTCCTCTGGGGAAGGGTCATGCCGGGTCCAGAACACCCTTGACCCTGTTGACGAAATACAAAACAAAACAAACGAAGCCCGCAAATAAGAAAAGAGTTTATTTGGAGTTTTAGGATTTGCAATCGGAGAAGTGCAGATTCAAGTAGCAAGTCAAACGTGCTGCGAGGAAAGTACAAACGCTGGGGGGTTCTAAACACAACAAAGACATTCCAGAGAAGTTACGGGGCTTGTTTTACACAGCGGATCGGGGCTGGCAGGCACTGGGTCACGTGTCGGCAGCTGATTGGCTGCTAAACTGAGGCTTCCAGGGAGTAAAGACAACAGGTTCCAAGTGGTCCCAGGACTGCCAGGACGTGTCCGCAGTGGCTCCCCTGCTCCCTTGCAGACCCTTTGACATGTGTCTCCACTTTGCTGTTCCTGGTCCATGGCCCCAAGGACCCCGTCAGCTCAGGAAGGCTACAAGAGTGCACGGGCCACCGCTGCAGAGACAGCCCCCAGGAGGAGGAGAAACCCCTGCCCTGCCCCGGAAATCAGCCCCCATCCCTGGTTCTGTCAGGCCTCTAGATGTGTGGGCACTTGGGGTGCCCCAGGGCAGACCCTGCCCACAACCAGCTGGGCAGGTGCGGTGTAAGGTGGGGTGGCCCTAGCCTCCCCTTCGTACCCTGACACCCGACCCCAGCTGTGGATCCCCTCCCGACCCGCACCCACGCCCCTTTATCTGTCCCCAGCTGCAGTCCCCTGACTCCAGGAGATGGCCGAGGGGCTGGGGTCTCAGGGTGGCCATGAGGGAGCCCCTCTCCCCGGGGGTCTGTCACACGTGAGCAGGGAGGGGACAGCCCCAAGGAAGTCCGGGAGGAGGGGAGGCTGGCAGACCTGCCCCTCTGGATTGGGAAGGACTGACTCCAAGGTGAGGAGGGGCCCGCAGCCAGTAAAGCCCCGGAGTCCGGCAGGGGGCGCTGCCCAGCGACTCAGACCCCTGCTGGGTGGGCTGGGCAGGTGGAAGCTTCCCGGACCAGCAGCGCTCAGGAAGGGAGCCAGGGGCGAGGCCAGGAGAGATGTTCCTCCCCACCACCCCCACCCCGAGCGCGCCTGTCCTGCTCTACCCTCACTCCCTCGGGACCAAACCTGGGCGGGGCATCTTCAGGAATCCTAAGGGCGGACTTCCTCCAGGCCAGACTCCAGGCAAAGCTGGTCTGCCACCTAGCAGGATCCTCACCCCAAATCCGTGAAGATTGACGGGGTTACACTCAGTGCCACCCACCCTTCGCGACTGCTGTCCACCCGACAGGGGGATGTGGGACGTGCCTAGTCAGCCAGCCGGGGTCGGGGGTTTGGGGGTTTGGGGTCACACGTCTGTCCCCCCACCCCCTGCCTGGGAGAGTGTCCTTCCTGGACTCAGAGAGGCAGGTCCTCCAGCCTCCCCTCCTCCGGGAACCAGCTTCCCTGGGGCCTAGCCTCCCGAGCTCACATGTGGGACCCAAGAGAGAGCGGGCAACCTCGTCTGAGTCACCGTCCTCCAGGGAGGACCCCAACCTACATAGCCCCCGAGGTAGGGCCTTGTGAGGGTTTGGGGTCTAGAGTCCTAGGTGCCAGGACGGAAGGAAATCCACTGTGAAGAGTGCTGAATTCAATGAGAGCCGGACAGGACCGGACCTCAGCCCCGTGAGGGAGCCCAGAAGAGCCTGGATCCCCAAGAGGCCTGTGGAGAAGGGTCACTGCCCCAGCACCAGCCTGTGGCTGCCTGGACTCCTCCAGCCTCTCCTGGGTGATGCATAGCACACCTGGGATACTGTGCAGGGCGCGGTGGGTCAGCCGGTAGGGTGCGTCCCCTGCGCCCACTCCCTCTGGGGCTCAGAGACAGGAATACCTGCCTGGGGTGCCCCTCCCTGTATTGGACTTAGGCGGGTCCCCACCTCCCCGTGTACAGCCCAGGCTCACACCCAATGCCCCAGGGTCCCCAGTGTCTGTGAGACACTTCCACCTAGCAGGGCAGCCACGTTTGCGTGGGAGGGAGTGGTCTTTCCTCTGGGGGTTTCTGTCGACCGGGGCGGGGTCACCAGCTCTGCTCTGGGCTTCTGCTGTCAGCCCACAGCTGAGCACTCTGTGCTTCCCCGAGGCAACCGGGGACTCACAGCAGTGTCCCCTCGCAGGGGACATCACAGCACCTTCACAGATGAGTGCACTTTATTGAATTCAGCTGTCCACAGCTCTGTCTCCATAAATTGCTGTATAAAGGGGTGGGGGGAGGGGGCGGGCCCACAGCCCCAGGTGCAGGGTCGGCCGTGGACGGTGGAGGAACTGGGCTGCCTCCATGTCCAGCGGCTAGTAGCCTCTATTATTCACCATCTGTAAAGCCATCTGGTAGGCTTTCAGGTAAGCAAACACCAATCCAACGATCAGAAAGATGCCCAGGGCCAGGGCACTGATGCTCAGGCACTTGGCGGTGGAGGCATAGCTCTGGGCCCCAGTGATATCGCCCACCATCTTCCGGTCCCTAGACTGGGGGAGAAGAGACGGTGAGGGGTCCTGGAGCTGGGCCAGGTGACAGCCAGGTGCTGTGACTCAGGCCCTCCCCTGCTCGTCCCCCAGGGCCCGTTCACCCAGATGGGGACCCACCCCTGCCCGTTCCCCGGAGCCCAAGCAGGACAGTGCCCGGTGGGCCCCCCGTCCCCTCCTTGGGCCTCGATCTGCTTCCTCACGGACTCTCAGCCTCTCCGGGAGGGCTCACCCTCCCTCTGCTCGCCCTCCCTCTGCTCTGTCCCCTTTGCTGGCCACTCACCCCACCAGTGGTCAGTGCCCTTTCAGTAACTTTTTCTTTTCTGGACCAGACTCGAGGTCTGAATCCGAAGTGTGAAGGATGTAACTTCTCTAATGAGGCTGGGAAGGAGAACTTCTTGGGGTGGTGGAGACATAGTTCCCCCCCATCCCCGTGTGTGCCCCTGCAGCCTCTCTGTGAACTCTCACTGGGAGTGATCCCCCAAGCCACAGGTTCCACAGTTCCCTTGAATCTGCGTCTACGTCTACTTGGGAACTGTAAGTGGCGGTGCACAGTTTCCCATCCACGTGGAGCCCCCAGGCTGCGGTCCTCATGTGTGGAGTTCTGCTGGTACAATCCTCCACGAGTCCTCAGACTCCACAGTAGGAACTGTTGGTGTTTACCAGCTGGAGTCAGACTGGGTCTGATTTAAAAACTGAACGGGGTTTCGAAATGAACTAGGTCCAATTTAAGCTGGACTGGGTCCAGTGCAGGTCCTGGCGAGTAAAATCTTAAGCAAAAGCTAACAGCGAATGCGAAATTTGCAAGTTAAAAAAAAAGGTGCAAAAATTGGTAGTGCAGGTGGAGCATTTAAGAGCTGTTAGACCACTTGTCTCCTAACCCAAGGACTCCCATGTTAGGATCAGTTGATCGTGGAACGGGTTATATTGACTCCAGGTCACCCACCAACGTCAAGAAAATTTCCGAGCAGCGAGATGCACCACGAACCACACACAATGTGCATCCCAGAGGCACATCCCTTTGAGGTTTTAGTTTGGCTCAGAGAGAACCCAAGGCTTAGCTAGAAGAAAGGAACTTGCCACCTGCCGGCACAGCCGTTTATTGTATATCTAAGAACTGTTGTCCCAGAAGCTGTAGATATCACAAAAATGGGAAAAGTCTTACTAAAACAACCTAGAATCACAATGGGCGTTTATAAGGACTATTCCAATTAGATAAAATCATTTAAGAGGTGTACTGGAAAGCAAAGTTTCCCAAATCAAACAGAGCAAATGGGATACCTGTTTTTATTGGTATGTGGAAGCTTCCAAAAGCCTTCAAAATTCCAAAATACCTTCCTTAAAAAATTATTTGCAAAAAGCTAATGAAAATTTAAAGACACAGGTCACAATCAAAAGTCCACCAAAGCATTCACATTACAGCTACTACAGCTCCAAGACCAGACACCTAGGGGCCCAGGGAATGATGTGTCAGTTGTAGTCAACTGTGGCAATGGAAAAGAGATTGTCCTCAAAGGGGATTTTTCAACATCAACTCGAATGCCCTCCTATCTATCCCCAAAGGAGGCCCCATCTAGGCCCCTCCCAGAACTGATGGGACTCTGACGGGTCTCGGGTAAACTGCTACACTATTCCCTTAAACAGCCAAGGAAACTAAAATTAAAATTAATGCAAAACTGGAGCCTGCACAGGGGATCCTGGGAAAGCTGACAGAAGCCAGAGAAAGGTGAGGGTTCTTAGCAGAGTCAGCTCTCCTGTGTCTTTGTCTTTATTGCCCGGTCGAGAGAGGAAAACAAAATGTCATGGTGTTCCTTCCTTTCCAAACCAGACCTACAGATTATGGATCCTTTCTCTCCCAAGGACTGCTGTTGTCTTCTTGCTTGTCTCATTTTGTGTCCTAGGAGGGTGGCTTGGCTTTCTGCCTGCCTGGGACATGCAGGTTGTCAGCTCTTTTTTTGGCTGTCTTTGAGAGTGACTCTGGATCTTGGGGAGGTGGTAACCTGTACACCTTCTTTGAGGATGCCTCTTGGGTCCATGGAGTTGTTTGATATTGCCAGGAATATTTACTGTTTGTCCTGGCT